TTCCCCATCCCCATCTCACCCCTTCCCTTGCGGTTACACAGCCTGTGACTTTCGGCCAAGGGGTTAAAGGTCAGCCTGGGCACTACTCTACTCCACCTCTGGCTGATTCTACGCCTCCTTCGCCGGCCACGCCCCTCCAACTCGCCAGAACCAAAATCAAAAAAAAAAGAAAAGATGCGTGAGAGCATCAAGTGGCTCAATTGCTAACTCAGCAAAAATAGCCACAATTTGTGCACTAAACAGAAATCCTTTAAAAAAAAATCTTTTGCAAGTCTACTTATTTTTAAAAATTAAAAATAATAATACAATTATTATTATGTTTTAAAAGTTTTCAGAAAATGCATAAGAACATAATACAATTTTAAATTTTTATTGAATAGAATGGAAAGAAGTTCCGGCTAAAAATTGTATATTTCAAGGTTTCTGTTGACCTTATACTTTTAAAAATCATAATCTAATATTTAATATTTATCAATTATTTTCGACTAATGTTTAAATCTAACTTAACTGGAACTTAACCCCCACATTTTCTTTAAAACACCCCACAACACCCAGTTTTTTTTTTCCGTGCACCTCCTGCTCAATTTTATTTTTCCACGGCTGCTGCTTCGCATTCGCCTCATCTCGGCTGCTCCATCATCTTCTCCTCCATTTGCGCTGGGCTTTTCGCAATCTCTCGGTTATAAATCAATCCCCGAGGCTTCGGCTACCGTTTTCTTCTCGTTTCCCCCTGCTTTTCTTCGCTCTGCGCTCTTCGATGAGGAGTACGAACTCCGAAAGACTCCGGCTAAGAATTTCGGTGTAATAGTAAATTATAATTAGAAAGAGAAAGAGGCTTTTAGGGTTAGGCGGCTTAACCTGTTGAGTGCCGAGCTGTAAATCAAAGCCCCAAGAAGGCGATAAGCCACCGAAACAACATGGCCAGAAAAATGCTAGAGAAAAATTAAGAAAGCAAAGAGAAAAAAGCAAAAAAAAAAAAAGGGAAAAGGGTGGGCGGGCGAAGGAAGTGGCCGCAGAAGTTTGCCAAATGAAATTTATGGCATATAAATTATCTCACACGTTGCCGGACTATTGACAGCTCTAAAATAATCGTAAAATGGCCCAAGAAATCCATAAAAAACGGCAGAAACAAAAAAAGAATAGGAGGCAGGGGGCTTAGGCGAGTCCGAGGCAGAACCAGAAAGCCCAGAAAACCATGGCCCAGACACCAGAGACCATGAATGTGAATTACTATTTCAGTTTTCGACCCGAAAGCACTGCAAAATGAGTGTGCCTGTGTGTGTGTTTGGCAGGGGTGGCGCTGGGAGGGGGCTGAAAAGGCAAAGGCAGCCAGGCAAAGGGGACAGGCGACGACGTTGCTTTTTTGCCTTACCCTCAGCAGTTTGCAGCCAAGTTTCAGTTTCTGGTTCGGTTCGGTTTTGGTTTTGGTTCGGGCCAAGCCCCGGATTGCAGAAATTGAAAAGTTCCCAACAGTTGGGGGGCCCCTCATAACTTTCATAGCACGGGACAGAAGACAGAAGACAGGAGACAGGGACAGAAGACAGGGACGGCGACAGCCGTCAGACAGAGATGGAGACAGCGAACAGAGCAAGAGGGGGAGAGCCCACTCGACTACGGCAAAGGATTTCGTGTTATCCATATTCAAATAGAGGCTTTTCCATTCCCCAACTAATTTTTAATACTATTATTATGCAAATAAAATTTTCAATAACCTTTGTTATTGGAAAAACGATTAAACATATATATTATACAAAGTACCCCTTATGCGACTCCTAATTATTTTAGTAATTACTGTGATTTTTTTTAGATTTTTATGTCAATCCGTTCTGGGTGGAATTTGCTACTGACCGTTTTTTAGGGGTCGACTTATATAATAGTTGGTATTTGGTATTTTTTGGTATATTATATAGCATTTTTTATTATTTCTACGAATCTTGAACCTTAAATTTCTTCAATAAACTTCAAATTAGGATTTCTTAAAAGTTGTTGGCTGAATTTCTAAAGTTCTTAAGTGCTTTGACTTGGTTTTATTGGGCTTTTGGACTGGCTTCCGCCGATCTGAGACTCGGATCGAGCGACTTTATTGTAATGACTTTTAATTTGAAAGTGGTGGCAATCGAGGAACGGGTTTCGAGATCTCTGTTTTCTTTGTTTTTAGTAGACCAACCGACCACCGGAGAAGGCAGTGAAAATCGTACAATATATTGACAAGCAGAGAGGGTCTCAACGCCTCATTATGCATGGCAATTTATGGGCCGCACCACGCCCTTAAAAAAAATAGACCTTAACCCCTTGCTAAATGCGGCAGCCACATAACATCTACGCTTCTAGCTTCTTGCTTCTTGCTTCTTGCTTCTTGCCTTTTGCTCCATAAATCAGCGAAAGGATCCATAGAGCCGTTGATGGACAAGCTGAAGTCCAGGTGCCTGTCGTCGTAAATGTCCAGCAGAAAAGGCTAAGAATGGCTAGAAAAATCACATTTCCATGGACAAAAGCTTCCACGGAAATATTGTTGCACAGAAACAGAGACCCCACGATCCCAGCCCCACTCCCCATTCCCCATCCTTCATAATCGTAATCTTCGGGATCGTAATGATCTTCCTTTGTGGCCAGTCATAAATGTTGATGAACAGCAGCGCAAACTTTTGTCGAAGGCGTTGCCGGTCTGAGCTTTTGTTGCTGCTGCTGCCGTTGATGTTGCTGCCGTGTTCGCTAGCAGCAACATAAAAATTGAAAAGATGCAGCCACCAAGATATATGCGGAGAAAAATGAGCAGTCGACCAGAGAAATGGCCGAGGATGTTGGGGATATGGGAAGCACTTGGGGTTACCCTCGAGGAAAATGGATATACTAGGGATTTTTCTATTTAAAAAAAATACTAGATAGTTACGATTTATAGGAGTACTCCTTTTCTAAATTCTTGAATTCAATGATCTCTTGAAATAGTTTTCATGCTACAAGTTTCGTATTATATGTTTAAATTAGTGTTTCTAGTATGTGTAGTATTTTCTAGTATTTTTTCTATTTTCTATTTTAGTAGTTTTCAAGTCAGAAGACATGTAATTAAAATTATCATAGGCACTTTTCAGTGCTAGGTATTTCGCTAGAGTGACGCAAAGTTCATAGCTACCAAATCCCCGTCATTAAATAATGGGTAAGGCAAAAGGCAAAACAAAATAGAACAGAACAGAACAGAACAGAAAACCCAAGCGAGAAACAGTAGAAGCAGGAAGAAGAAAGCTTGGCAGCTTTATGACTCGACTTGCCATCAGTCTGCCGTTGTAAAGAGCCCCACTGTACGGGTCTACGGCTTCCTGAACATCCATTTTCCAGTCAAATGTCGACAGCTTTTGACTTGAACCGCCCCCGAGCCGAAGACCCCTTTCCATTCCCCCATCCATTCCGAGCCCCAAAGAGTTCTGTAGCCAATTTATGAGGCAGGAAGGTGTCCGCCGCTGCATGTCCAATGTCAACAAGTTTACTGGAGAATTTTTAGATGCAATTACAGTCGAAGTTCTCTAGATCGAATTAGGAAGCTCATTTTCAATATAAGAAAATATATTTTAAAGAACTTTACTTATTTTAATAAACAATAAACAATAGAACATTATGATAAATATCCCTAACTATTTTCATACGGTTTTCAAATCTCTGTTACAGAGAAAAGTAAAAAAATGTATTAAAGGTTATTATATTTCTAGAAAAAAATAATTATTAAGAGTTGTTTAATATTCAATAAAGCGATGAAGAAATGTATATTGATTCTAAGCTAAAGGAAAAATAAAAAACTGCAAGAGCCTTAATTTTTCCAACTTTTTTCACAAATTTTCGTAGGTTTTTTGTTGTTTTTTTTTTCCTGTTCTCCTGACATTAAACAGTCAGCAAAAGTGAAAATTTGACAGGAGAGCAAATGAAATAAAACAAAAGGCAAAAACAAGATGGGAAAGAGGAAGAACGGCAGCAGCAGAAGAAGAAGAAGAAGAAGCTGAAAAACTTTGACAACTGCGCAAAAGTTTTTCCGTCCAAAAACGGACGGGAAAACAAGAGGAGGGAAAACAAAACCGAAACAAAAACAGAGGAACAAGAACTTCAAAAGCATACAAAATGGGTGTGCGGAAAAGAGACGGCCGATGGCCCAGGGGGGCGGGGAGGGGCGAAAGGGGGAGGGGCGATAGACCCCCTAAAAAGGGAAACAAGTTCAAAAGTGCAAAAACTTTTTTCCTGCCCAGCCGTCGCCATTAAAAACCTCCTTGGCCATCGCTTAACCCATTGTGGGCAAAAGATGTCGCTGGCTTAACACCAAGGGATCGCATTTCCACGATCCTTAAAGGGGTTGCCCTTTAAGGACTACAGACCGCAGTCATCCCAATCATTCACTGCAAACTGAAAAAAATCTAAGCCAAAATCCCGTCGGCTTAAGCCTTTTTTTAGTATAATCCCTATTTTATCTTTTCTTGTCCTTTAGAGTAAGGGGTCTATATATCATGATAGGCTGATCATATGTTTTAATAATATCGAAAGATATCGATTGAAACTTTGGGAGGTTCCTATATATTTTAACGAATTTTGATCACTAAAATATGTAGGTACACTTTACGTAATTTGTAAAATGAAATACCATACGATACCATTTTCAGCTTGGCGTTGTACAATAGAGCTTCCAAACAGGTGTTACCTATTCGTTTGCTCCTTCTTCCTTTGTTTATAAACCCATAAAGGGCTTATCTGAAACGCTCCATGTCCTTTTGTACAAAGAGTATCCCAAAGAATTATTTTATAAAACCCCAAGATCAGGATAGTGTATTTCCCTGTATTCTCTATAATATTTATCCATGATATGTGGGCTCTATAGTATCACGAAATGACTAGAAATAAACCAGAAAGATCTGCAACAACTGATTCTTTGATATATTCCAATAAAGATCTCAAAGGATAGTTATTGGGAAAAGTTCTTAACCCTTAACACACCGTCAGAGCTTAACCCTTTGGCGATCACTTACCGATGTTGTGCTGGCTGGTGTGTAGGACCGCCCCGAACGCCATCAGATGGTCCTTGGGCGGGGGGGCGCGGCTACCGAGGGCGGCGAACCCGTCGCCCAGAAATGACGCCAGTGCGACGGCCCTCAGGGGCGCTTTTGAGGCCTCGGTGAGAATTTTGTTGTCGAATATCTTGATGCCGGGGGATGGAGTTTTGTTGTTTTTTTTTTTTGGGGGGTGGTTGCCTTTTTTCGGGGGGCCTCAGTGGGTTAAGTCCCGCGTGCGAGTGTGCGTGTGTGTGTGTGCGTGTGCGTAGGGGTGAAAGCGAGACGGAGAGAGGGGGAGAGAGATAGAGGAGCGGGTTAAACCCCACCTACACACTTAACGGTTAACGCACATAGAGACCGTGGGGGCAGGTGCGAGCGAGAGGGGAATAGCACGTGTGTGCCGGCGGCAAATTTGGCAAAACAAAAACAAAGCGCGAAATTCCGCTCCTCTTTGAGTAATTCTCTTTGCGCTTCCTTGTATTCCAGTATTTAGTTGTATATATTTCTTAATTTCTATTTTTTAGCACTTTGCACTTTTAGCTTTTCTGCGATTTCTTGGTTTTCGTATATATATTTATATGCTTCTTCTTGTTGTTCAAGACTCTCACTTGCAAAAAAATTTGAACAACGCAAAAATTCTCGATTCGATTCGATTTCGCGGCGGAGCGGAAACAGCTGACTAACGGTAAACGGTAAACGGTAAATCGACTGCGTTGCCTCCCTGTCGAGCGGTTTCCTCGTGCGTTTTGCGTTTTGCGGGCGCTTCACGCGAACGTCAAACAAAAACTGAAAACGGAAAACGGCAAACGCGACGGCAAAGCGGACGGCCCGATTACCGATAAACTGGCCAGCCGAGCGCACACGCACACACACGAACGGCGACCCGAAGCGCGGACGAATGGCGCGCCTGGGAGCGAGCAAGATGGCCGTCGGCGCACCGCTCGCACGCACGCGGCCAAACGGGGCGAGTAGTTTCTCGCTGCGACGCCTGCGTTAGAGCGAGACGCAGCGAGTGTTGCTCTGGGGCTGCTGCGACGCCGACTGCGCTGCTTGCGGCGCTGCAATGGAGTCGCTGGCTCTCTCTCGCTCTCGCCGCCTTGTTTTTGTTGCTGCTCCTGCAGCTTCTGTGGCGCTCTCGTTGCGGGCTCCAAAAAATCAACTAATATTTATGGACACAAAAATAAATTTTAAAAAATAGTCTAAAAAAATGTTTATTTTTTGGGAAACTGTTTAGTATTATAAGATGAAAAGAAAAAAAATGGACTCTTTTTTCGAAACTAGTATTTTTGAAATTGTTAAATGGACAAATAAATAATAAAACTAAATGAAAATAGAACGTCTTTCGAATATCATGCAGTGATGTCTTTTTTCAAAATGTAAAAATTTTCAAATCGTTTTTTTAATTTAGATTAATTTAAAGAAACATCATTAAATTATCTTGAAACTGCTATTTTTAGTTCGAAATTTACAAATGCAATTATTTTATGCATAAAAATCAATTTTAAAGAACATTTTTTTTTAATTTATAAAATTTTTCACAAAAAAAAAATTTTTTTTTTTGACTTCAGTTTTTGATCCTTTGTAAGTATTGTTGCTACCATTGTTTTTGTTGTTGCCCTCCTATTTCGCTAATTGTTGTTGTTGCTGCTGCTCCTCTCTCCCGCTCTCTTTTTTGCGGTTAGAGGGGGCGTTGCTAAGCAACTGGTTTTTTTTGTTGCTCTGCCTTTCGCTTCATTGAGAGATGCGCAAAATGGCGCTCTCTCGCTCTCACGCTCTCCGGGCCATCGCTCCCTCTCGCTCACACTCGCTGGCCGAGCCAATGGCATTTTTCAAAGTGACATTTGCCCGCGTTTTGTCCCTTTCGCACTTGTCCGTGTTTGTGTGCGTGCCAAGGTAAAATGTCAAATGCTTTTCGACTGTCAACTGTTGGTCGCAAAAAACTTTTTTCTTTCCTCTCGTCCTTTTTTTTTGTTTTTGTTCGGCTGCTTCTTCTTCAACTTGTGTTTGTCACTTGTCGTTAGCAGTGCGAAAGGGAGAGCACCAGCGGCGGGGGGTGTGGGGGCGTGAGCGGGAGAGGGACGCCCCTTTGGCGTTTTAACGCACTGGAGACAGCAACAAAACTAAAGAAAGGAGGCGAAGAAAAAAAGGAAGTGTTAGAAAAAAAAATAAAATTTTAGATTAAAATTTGTTATTATTTTTAAATATTAAAAATTTTGATTTTATAATTTAGAATATATGAATTTTTTTTTAAATTTATTTTTTTATAATAAAATATCAAAAAATAAAAAATTACGAATGTTATGGGATGATTTTCAAGCTTTAAATACAAATAGTAATTGTAAATATATTTAAGCCGAAGATCAAGCTCAATAAAAACAAAAATAGAAAAGAAGTAACACAAGCCAAACCTATGAGAGCGAAAGAGAGCGCAATAGAAAAGAGGAGGAGGTGGCGTTAGTGGGTGGCGCCTGCTCTCTTTACCTCCCCACCTTTTCCCCTCTCACTTACACTTCGATAAAGGAAAGAAGAAGATGTTCGACAGAAAATGAGGGGGCTGCGTTGGGTTAAAGTGTACCGTTTTGTGTGTTTGTGTGGGGCAGGGGAGTCAAAAATATTGCACATTAGGGTGTTAAGCTGTGAAGTGCTTGCTTTTTGTTTGTGTGTGTGTGTGTGTGACTTTTTACTTGTTCTCTGCTATCGAAAAGTTATCGAAATCGGTTGATCTTCGACGGCCTTGAAAACTGGGATGCCCCAAATTTAGCAAGAGCGAGCGAGAGGGGCAGAGGAAGAAGGATTAAACGCATTTTGTTCTTGGAAACTGAAAAAATATTTCAACCTATCGGTTTCCTATTCTAACAATAATATTAATAAAAAAATTAATTCAACCATTTTAGTTTTTTTATTACTTTTTATTTTTAAAAGCAACAAGTAATTCATACTTAAAGGGCCAAAACATTAACAAGAAAAGGAAAGAAGATTGGAAAGTAAGGTGGGAATACGGAATACTGGATAAAAGACAAGCTGGGGATCCAGCACATTGTGATCCCTAATCTGTCATCTCATTCATTTGGCTTTACCTTTAGCTTGCCCTTACCTTTGGCTTCTGTAACTGCTCCGGTTCCTCTTCCTCTTCCTGCTCCTCGGATCCCCTCGGGTTCACCATCGTTTTCTCGTTTTACCCACCTTCTTCCACCTTTTCCAACAAATGTCAGTTATCAAAAAATCGCAGTAGCAACGAAAAACAAGGAGGAGCGCGGATGATTCTAAAATAAAGTTTTTAAATACTCTTTAACTAAGTTTTTAGCTTTTTAAAACAGTAAGTATTTTCGATTTCGAACCATTAAAAAACAAGTTATAGAAAAAAAACAGCAAGAATATTTATTAGTAAATAATGGATATCATATTTTAAGGACCCTAACTAAGGGCATTGGAAAAAAACCGACAGCTCGACCGAAAACAAACAAGTAGCGGTAAGAAAATGTTGGCCAGGCCGTGATAAGGCGCAGCTAACTGCCACGCCCACCCAGCAGAAACAGCACCGCCCACCGAAAAGGGGGAGGCAGTGCGGGTGGCAGGTCGATGGCCACAACACAAAATCAACAATAAAAACAAGAAAATCATGAAAAGCAAGAAAAGCGCGACGAACTTCGCGACGCGCCATAAACTTTTGGCAGGCAGTATTTATCGGGGGGCGGGGATACAGCTTGGGTCAAATTAATAGTGGTTCTACTAAAAATTTTTATATTTTTAAAACATTTTCAGAAGATTTAACCCGCATAAAAAATATTATATTTGGCAATTTTATTGTCAATGAAAAGAAACGAATTCAAAAGATATTCCTTAAAGAATAGTTTTTAGTAAATTAAATGTTTCCATTTTAAATTATATTATTTATATTTCAACAGCTTTATTTATGCTTAAAATAAGAAACAAAAAGTTGAAAGCCCCAAGGTAACTGGAAGCAACAAAGGATGCGGCTCCCGATTTTTGGGAGTCAAGTGGTTGCCCCGCCACGCCCACCGACTGCCGCCCACTTGCGCCTCCCTTTCCGCCCCCTAAATGCGACCAGTCACGAACTGAACAAACAGCAAACGGACGTCGCCATGTCACGAAAAGGAAGAGGATTCACAAGGAGAGAAACGACATGAAAAGCAAACAAGAAGCAAAGAAAAATCAGAATAAAATATTGATATCGAGTAGTTCGAACAAAAGATATCCCTCAATAGTGAAAAATCATTGGGAAAAAAGAGAAATACTACAAAATATTATTTCTGTATAAAAAATGTTCTTTGGTTTTAAGATAAAAATAAATTTTAAAATAATTAGTTTTTTGGTCGTAACAATGGAAAAATAGATACAAGTATGGATTGTCATACCTTTCTGAATTTGTTATTAATTATTGTTATTATTATAGAAAAATTAAAAATTAGCGAAAATTTTATTTTTCCAAAATCACACGGAAAGTGTTCTGGATTTATAGATAAGTTTGTTATCTGTTCAAAGCAGTATGTATTTTTGGTGTAGGACCATTTTTGGCCAAGTTACAGCAAAAAAACCAAAAGAAAAATTCAAATTTTTGTCAAAAACCGAAATCCCGAATTTCCAAAAAAAAAACAAAACGGGTTTTTTCGCTAAAACAAAGCAAATACTGGCTTAAAGTATGGGTTGTCATACCTTTCTGAACTCGTTATTAAATTTCCTAACGATTGGCATTTAAACCTTGACATTTTATTTATTTTTAATTTTTCGCAAAAAATCATGGGGTACCCCCTTATAAAAAAATTAAAAATTAGCGAAAATTTTATTTTTCCAAAATCACACGGAAAGTGTTCTGAATTTATAGATAATTTTGTTATCTGTTCAAAACAGTATGAATTTTTGGTGTAGGACCATTTTTGGCCAAGTTACAGCAAAAAAACCAAAAGAAAAAATTTCAATTTTTGTCAAAAACTGAAATTGCGAATTTCCAAAAAAAAACAAAACCCGTTTTTTCGCTAAAACGAAGCAGTTTTTTCGCTATAACAAAGCAAATACTGGCTTAAAGTATGGGTTGTCATACCTTTCTGAACTCGTTATTAAATTTCCTAACGATTGGCATTTAAACCTTGACATTTTATTTATTTTTAATTTTTCGCAAAAAATTAAAAAAAATTAAAAATTAGCGAAAATTTTATTTTTCCAAAATCACACGGAAA